GGAAAGATAGCACATTAAATTTGAATTCTTAATCTCGATTTATGAGTAGTCAGTCACGACACAACTAGTCAAGCTATCAAGTCTTTATTCACTTAGTTTTTGCGAGAATTAAAAAAATGGTTTAATTTTTCTCACTGCTGCAAAATAAAAGTGAAAAAGTAAAAAAGGATCAAAGTATAGGTTGTACAACAAAAAGTAAAAGACGGTCTTCAAGAAGAAAATTCATGCGCTTTGCGATCCTTGTCTTTTGTTTCTTCACGACTTCGATCTAATGCATATTATTTTTTTTTATTATCATTTCTCACTGCTAATGAAGAAAGGGTCAGCTTTTTGTATCATGTGCAGACAAACTGAAGCAAGAAAATAACGTGTACAGTAAGTAGAAAATAAAAGACTCACGAGGACAACTCAAATTCACGCGCTTCGAATTTCTGGTCTTTTGCTCCTTCAAAAACTGTATCATCTCATGCATTGTAATTAAACTTTTTCATTATCTTTCGTCACTGCTGACAAAGAAATGAACGGACTTCTAGATATTGTTTCTTTACAAAATGAACTAACAAAACAAAAGAACTCGCTAAACTTGAATCTGATGGAAAATGAAAAAAAGTGCAACAAAAAGTATAGGACAGTCTTTACGAGGTCGAAGCAAATTCACGAGCTTCAAATGTCTTGTCTTTTGTTCCTTCACGAACAGAGTCCGATAAATTTTAATTTCACTGGTCCATAATTTCTCATCTCACTGCTAATAAAGAATAAATTGAACAGATTTCCGTATCGTATCCGTATATACACAAAATAAAGTTTAAAAAAAAAACAGAAGCAAGAATAAAACACTCGCTGAACTTGAACCTGGAAATGACGACGGCTATCTGGCCTCTAGCTCGAAGGGTTTGCCAGCAAAACGCCGTCTGATTTTCCCATGGGCTACTGCAGCAATTGGACGCAAGCGCTGAAAGTATCGCGCGCAGGAAAAGACGACATCAGCTGATGCCTACATGGTGCCTGTGTATATGCAGTGAAGCATCGCCTATACAGCCAACCATGTGCCAAAGAATGAGGCAAAGGAATCGCAACTATGGCTGCTGGTCGTCGAAATGCTGTCTTTGTGATATTCCCTCTTATTATTACAGTCGAACCTCTCTAAATCGAATTTTTAGGGACCTGAAACAAATATGACTTAAGGAGGTTTTGAATTATATAGGGTTTGAACTACAATACAAAGCCCCTTTTTCAGGGAAACTTAGAAAATATGTAAATAGTGATATTCTGGGGCTTAAATGGCTTCTCAAATGAGCTGAAAGGCTGCTGAACTTGGAGGCAGGGGTTCATTTGCCCAATTGAGTCTTTCACTTCCTTTGAAATGCATGAATTTATGTTTTTATTGCTTTTTTTCTTACTTGGGTCAAGAAAATAATGGCCAATAGGCCACAGAAAATTCAACTTATGGAGGTTTGAGGGGAAAAGCTTTCAACTTAGGGAGGTTTTTAGCGTATTTTTTTTAAGGGAATTCAGATATGGGGACCTGGAAAAATTCAAATTAGGGGGTATTTGACCTAGGTAGGTTCAAGTTATTGAGGTTCACCTGTATTAGTATTATTATTATGGTCAAACCTCTCTAAGTTGAATTTTCAGGGGCCAGAAAAAAATGTTGACTTTTTTCCTGGAGGTTTTGATTTTTGGAGGTTTCAAGCTAAGGAAACAAACATTTTTGCTGCAAGGAATAGTAGAAAAAATTTGCAGGAAATGAGGATATTCTGGGCCTAAACTTGCTTCCTACAGAGTTTACAGCTTGCTGAAATTGGAGGTAGGGGTTCATTTTTTCAATTAGTCTTTCACTTCCTTTCAAGATAATGCATCAACTCATTTGTTTTGTTGATTCTCTTTTTCACATTTCAAGGAAAGAATAACCAAAAGGCTGCTGAAAATTTGAATTATGGAGGTTTGAGAGAAAATGACTGCAACTTTGGGAGGTTTTTAATGCATTTTTTCTAAAGGAATTCAAAAAAAGGAGGACTTGAAAAAAATTGACTTAGAGAGGTATTCAAATTACAGAGGTTTGACTTATTGAGGTTCAACTGCATTATTAATTTCTTCATAAAATTAAACCCCCTCATTTCATTTTATTCAAAACGTTTTTATTTTTATTTTTTCAGGGGTCAGGAATTTTTGGAAGGCTGCCAGTGGATGATAGAGACAATGGTGGGAGAGAAAATTCTGCTCTCTTCTTGAAATACTGTACTGTCAACCTCTTCAAATCAAACTTCAAGGTGCCAGCAGAAACATTTGAATCAAGGCGGTTTCAAGTTAGGTAAAAAAGGAATTTTTGTTGGAAAAAGAAAGAAAAATTGCAGGAAATTATAATTAAGGATATTCTGGGCCTTGAATTGCTTCTTGAATGAGTTGATGGAATGTTGAAGTTGAAGGCAAGGGTTTATTTTTCCTGAATAGTCTTTCATTTTTTCCTTTCAAAATGCATCAAGTTACATTTTGTTTATTTCTTCTTTCCTGTGACAATAAAACAATAGCCAAAAGGCCTCATAAAAAATTCAAGTTATGCAGGTTTGAGCAGGAAAACCTTTGAGTTAAGTAGTTTTTTGATGCGTTGTTTCCAAGGGATTCAGACAGTGGTCACAGAAACAATTTGAAAAAGGGAGGTATTTGGCATACAGTATACATTAGTTGTGACTTATTCTGTGGCTGAAGTTATTGAGGTCCAAATGTATTTCTTTTTTATATATGCTATAGTGCCTGGGAGGAATCAGCCAATTCAAAACGAGCCACAATAAATATAACAGCTGACTAGTAAAAAAAAATTTCCGGATAAGATGCTGTAAAACTTCTTCATCCCATCCTAGATGTAATACAGTTTAACGAATGAATTCGAGCACGTACAATGTTGCAAGAATTTCCTTTTGATTCCTTTCAAAGATTCCAGTTTTAGAATCCCCTTTATTTTTCCCACAACATTTCCTCGCTCTGATATTAAAATTTACGTTGCTGTCTTTGAAAAATAAAGGAAATGAAATCTGATTTTCAGCCTGTGCATAAAACTTTGATTTTGTGTGTCTGTAATCATAAGGAGCTGAATTTGGTCTTCAATGAAATTGTTCCACTATTATGAAAATCTAAAAATTCCGTGTGAAATTAACTTCCAACGATTGAATTTGTCTCCTCAGCATTGTCTAATTGCTGGTAATGCTGGCATTTTCTCATTGGCATCGTCCGCTGGCCTTTTTCTATTGCGCCGTTTTTTCTCCCGATTATGAAGTTTGATTCGAAAGCTTTCTCGAGTGCTTTTCATTTTGAATAAGGGATGACAATTCACGCACAAGATTTTATCTTTTGATCGCCTATACAGTATATTTTAAAACAAACGAAGAACGAAGAGGTGACGCTTCCCCGTTTTCTCACTGTGAAAAAATAATGTTTGTGTTGCGTGCCAAAATGTCATGTTGCATGTCCAGCAGTACGACTTTGAAGGTATATAACCTATGTATGTGTAAGTGCTATGCTGCCAAATATTTCAATAATCATCTCGGCAAATGTCTCGGACCCGCTGATGAACATATGTTGTAATGAAGAACTAAATTTCGATCTTGTCCATTGCTGTGGGCGGTTAATTGCAGAAGTCGAGTGATACATTTTCCGCAAAAATGTGCCAGTTTTTCATTAGTTCAGCGTCACTTTTTTATAATTACTAATCAGATTTTGAATTTTCATGTTTTGATATGATCTTATGCACTCGATGTCAGAAACAGCAGCAGAGTTTGATTTGTTTCATTGTTATTTACACAAGAATCGCGTACTGTATTATTTTCGTATTTCTCCAATTTCCCTATTAAATACGCGGAAAAGATATTTCCAAAGCAACTTTACAGAGGAAGTTCTGGGAAAATTTTGCGAAGGATTTATAAGTGCACAGCTTGTTCAAAGAGATGAGCATCGGAAATTTAACGTATACCGTACGTATACGTGCTTCTGATCGCGTAACGCGTCGGATATGTGTATAGTGAGTTGTTCGTAAGGCTATATATACCTTCTGCCGGTAACCAAGGTGACCGGGAATATAATGTTTCGTGGAGGAGTCCTAGAAAATGTCCTTCATATGATGATAAATTACCCTTTTTCTTTTTGCAAGTCGGATAATTGCTTTGTTGCTTAATCGCCGCGCATTGATCATACAGTACTGTATATAGTTTCCGTATACAGAACAGCTGCACATCAACTAGCATACGCCATATCTTCTCGCGTTTGGACACGCCTTTGTGAATTAAAATCCATAGGCCGGATATCAGAGAATGTGCGAGCGGTAATTAACTTTTTTTAGCGTTGTAAATAACAATACCGTACGTACTCATGTACACCTTGATTTATAACTTGCTATAATAAATGAGTATCACTTTCGTGTCGTTGTATCCTTACATGAACTTCGAAGGTTGGATTTCCGATTCCAACTGTAAGCGACTATAAGCGTTTTCACAAACTAGTGAGGTACTTCTTCTTCAGTAGGAGCTCAGTACTGTACTGTACTGCACCTGCTATTCTGCTGAACGTGAATACGCCAATTCTCATATGAGCCTGTGGTTCGGTATGCGACGTACGAGTTCGAACTACACTTCTACAGTACCTCACGCATTTACTTGTTCTGTACGGTAGAGTGGAATAATCTGCGTCTGCCGATCCGAAGGTTGTGGAAGCGGGCGGGTGACCGTAAGCTGAAAATTGGGTCAATTGTGTGTGGAAGTCTTGAAAAAGTTATATTGGGCTTTGTTATTATGCTGTGATTGCTGCTTTTCGATCAGGCTGATGCAGAAATTTGTGTGTGATGTCGCTTTTCGAGAACGTCAAATGCTCAGGTTTACTTCGTTTTCGAAGTGGAACTACCTGCTGGGTGTGATTTTCTGAGGGAACTCGTGCAAGGAATCGTAACGCGTGTTCTAAATGAATCTCGGAAGTATCGGAGAATTATATTTTCTCTTGTGCCCAGTTGATCGTGAATATTTCGTGTATAAATCTACAGGTTTGTGGATTACTTCGCGAAATATGCCCAAGTCAAATCGCTTCGCTGCGAGCGCTGCGGAAGGTGCGGCAGCAAAACGGCTGAAAGTTTTAGCGAGCGGAGATGCTCGTGACTTTGCGGACGTGAACTCGGACGTTGGAGGTATGTTGATTTTTCTCTCATTGGATGTGATTCGTCGAAACAAACTCGACATGATACTCTATCAGGAACTATGGCGAAGAATTCTCTGGATTCGGATGAAGAAGACTATGATTCGGATGGACCCGCTGTTGGTAGCAAATACGATGTCGATGTTGACAGTGGTGAAGAAGATGCCACAATTGATTTTGACGACGGAGTGAAGATAACTCCTTTCAATATGAAAGAAGAATTGGAAGAAGGGCATTTCGATGCCGAAGGCACCTACCATGTAAACAAGGAAGATGAAATAAAGGATAATTGGCTTGAAAACGTTGATTGGACTCGTGTTCGAAAGCCTGAGAAAGCAGAATCAAGTGATGACGAAGAACTGCCCGAGAAGTTTGATTCCGCGTCATGTTACGAGCAAATGATGAAGTTGATGGAACCAGGTGAAACTGTATCGGCTGCGCTGAAGAGACTGGGTGGCAAGAAGACGAAAAAGAAACCGTTGACATCTTTGGAAAGGTAAATTATTTGAACGCCCTCCTATTTGAGGCCGTGAGATATAATTCTCCTTCGTGTTCTTGTGAGATTGATGTCATAAATTTGGTAAGCGACAATGTGGAAAAGTCTAAGCTCTCTTGTCAATATTTTTTATGGAAAAAGACGTGATTCGAACATTATTGATCTGTTTCAGATTGCGTCGGAAAAAACTCGGCTTACCTTTAGATGAAGATGATCCCGATGATTCGAAACGAGCTGCCTTCATAACTCTCACAGGTCTCGCGGATTCTGCATTGACAAATCTTGGGTTCATGGATGTATACGACGAAACCTATGAATCATTAAATCTTAAAATTAAGAAGGAAACGCAAACTGCCGCCGTAGATGCTGTTGACATGTTTTCAGACGAACCCGGGCCATCAACAGTGCAATTTTCCGAACCGTCGGAAGAGGAGAAGAAAGCTGAATCCGTGAAATGGATGTATAAGTTTGATTCAAAACCAGACGAAATTCTTGGCCCTCTAGGTTCTGCCGAAATGTCAGAAATGCTTGCCACGTGTGGTGAGGAACACACAACTGTGCGAGTTCGTCGGGTGGATAAATCTGAAGGCCCGTGGTACAGCGCTGTTCGGGTTGATTTCGACCTTTATGATTGAAGTTTCTTCTCTGATCGTTTGTATTCATTCCAAAGTTTTCTTTGTATTTAAAACAAAACTCTGGAGTCCGTATTCGAAAGTGTAGACGCTTTGAATGAGAAAATAGTGAAGATTTCACCTATTTAGCTTTTCTACGTTTTTTGGATCCCAGTTCGTTGATATCCTTTTAAATCCATCTATTCGCATTGTTCCAGCTCTCGATTTCAATGTCAAGTTTCTTCTGAGTCAGTTCTGATGAAACTCGCGTATTCTTGATAAAATCCTCAGGAAATCTTGTGGAAAAGTTGAAATCAAAAACTTCACTAGGAGCTCGTTTTTCGCGTATTTCATTCGTGCACTGCATTTGTTCTTGCTTGAAGTTAGGTTTTTTGGAGATGCATTGTAATCGGTTGATCCAGATACCTGAGTATTTGATGAACTCGTGCGATTTATCTTCCAGATGATAATTAACGAAGTCTAAGCGCAGTGTTGCCTTCGTGGTGGCGTGTTAGTGTGCGGTTTGAAGTCAAAATAGTATGACTTCTCATCGTTCCTCCACGGGGCTTCCCGGAAAGAAGAAAGTACAGGTGGGGAATTAAATTTTTCTAAGATTTAGAGTCGAGAAAATTTAGTGGATATCTCGATTAGAACTGAAGAAAAGAGAATCGCGTGTGATTCTTGTTTAATTTGTTTTTAATTGGCAGGTTTCATTCGTGATTCGGGACGAGGTGGAGAAGCAACACCGAGCGGGAGTGAATTCCTTGCAATTCGATCCCTGCCTCAATCGTTTGTACTCTTCGGGACGTGATGGTATCATTCGAATATGGAATTGCAATAATAATAAGGATCCATATGTTTCATCTATGGAACATCACACCGATTGGGTCAACGATATCATATTGTGTTGTGGAGGCAAAAATTGTAAGCATCGATTATGTTTTTTTTATGTGTTATCGTCGTTATTTAACCACGAAACTCAAAAACTGAACGTGCTTGAAAATGAGATTAATTCACGATTTATTTTGAGCTATATTTTCCTTGTACGTACATTTTTATTGGACCTGCTGTATACTTATGAGAGCTTGTGTGCTGGAAAATTATCCCTGGAAAGATTTATATATCTGTAAATTTACCTTGAGAAATTTCGTTTTCGAATTCGAAAAAGGTTTAAATTCCATTATTATTTTTATAAAACTTCTAAGTGAATTGATTTCTATTTGTGTGATTATTTAGTGATATCGGCAAGTTCCGATACCACAGTGAAGGTATGGAACGCGCATAAGGGGTTCTGCATGTCAACACTACGTACTCACAAAGACTACGTGAAAGCTCTTGCCTACGCTAAGGACAAAGAACATGTTGCTTCCGCCGGCTTGGACAAAGCCATATTCCTCTGGGACGTCAACACACTCACTGCCCTTACAGCGAGCAATAATACAGTCACTAGTATGTTTGCAGGCGGGGGAATTCAGATTTACATGCAAATGTTACTGAAATTCGTTTCTTCTTTTGTTTAGCTTCTTCGCTGAACGGGAGTAAAGACTCTATCTACAGCTTGGCCATGAACCAAGCGGGAACGCTGATTGCCGCGGGTTCTACGGAAAAGTTGATTCGACTATGGGATCCTCGAACTTGTGCCAAAATTATGAAGCTAAGAGGTAAGGAAATTCCCGTTTCTGTTGCTTTAGATTTTTTTGGAGTCAGCATTTTGATCGGGTTGTGTATCAATGTGCACCATGGATGTGTTCTGGTATTAGCTGTGCGTTTTTTTTATTTGATGATCTGTTTTGAAATTTCTAGTTTATGCGTTGGTTCCCCATTGGGATAGATGATACAGAACATTATCAACAAATCCTTGAACATATCAATTCAAATGTTTGAATGATACCTGTATGTACTTTTACCACGCATTCTTGAATAAGACACGTACCCCACGCTACAATTTATACAATTTTTCACGCTACAATTTATATTTTATCCTACTTCCCTGGTAAGATGGTCTTCTTATTTTTAGTGACTGAGAAACTACAATACATGTATAGTACAGTATTTCAAAGATGATACTATTATAATTCAAATTTGAACATGAATTCTACCTAAATACAAGTAATTTTAAATTATTTTCATTATGAAGGTTTCTGTCAAGAATGCCCCATTACGTGCTAGTGTGACACGCACCTAAAATAGTAAAATTTATTTTTAATTGTATCCCAAATGATGATGCTCCCCCCTTTTCTCCTCTGAATTTTGAGAAGAAAAAAGCGTGCGGTATTGGAATAAATTCAGGCTTTTACAGAATTTGTCAATTCAAAAGGGTGACAGGAGAAAGTGCGGTTAGCGAAAATTTATTTTATCTGGGCGATTTTTCAGGCAACAAACTTTACTTATACAGTACAGTACAGTAATATTGCTTGCGAGGTTAGTTCCGCCTGAAAAGAACTGATGGGACATTTTTTAAATTTGTTGCATTTTAAGAAATATCGTCATTTTGAAGTTCGAATACGTTTCTGTTATGCCCTACTCTTGTAAACCATATTATGGTGTATAATGAAGGAAGTTTTTCCTTGCTGCAGTTGCCTTTTGAAATTCATGTACTGTACTGTATTTAATATTCGCGTGAACATCTCGTATTTATATTTCCTAATGGCAAATTCTGTTATTCGTGTGTGTACAGGTCACACTGACAATGTTCGTGCTTTGCTCATTAACCGCGACGGGACCCAGATCTTGTCGGGAAGTTCAGATGGAACGATTCGATTGTGGTCCATCGCTCAGCAGCAATGCATCGCTACAGTGCGGGTTCATTCTGGAGGCGTGTGGACGCTGCAGAGTGATGACAACTTCAATTCTTGTTTCTCCGCTGGAAAGGATCATTGCGTTTACTATTCTGATCTGTCTCGGACGGACGAAAGTGTGCTAGTCTGCGAAGAGAGTGCGCCAATTTTGAAGATTTGCTTGATGCCCGATAGGGAGTCGCTCTGGATTGCCACTTCCGAGTCTGATATTAAGAAATGGGTGAGCTTGGTTACTTTTGATGCGTCTGTGCTAGAATACAGCACAATAAACGAAATATGGTTTGAGAGACGTGAGAAATTTAGTTTTTTAATTCATGTACTGTAGTGAAAAGGGGAAAAATCTTTACTCAAGATTTAATATCGGTGAATTAATATTATTTTGGGATTTTTACAGAGGTTTTTTTTTTTTTTCATGTGTATGATGGAAGTGGGGGGCCAAGTTTTTAGGGCTACAATCCTTACTGACAGATTTGCTTCATAACTTCTGGTGTGTCTAAATCGAAGCATTTCAGGCATCAGTAGTAAGTCAGCATTTCTGATGCATTGCTATTTTCTTGTCGCAGTCGCTGAAAAATTTGAAATCCGAGGACGGCGATGACTTGTCCGGGTCGGAATGCCCCATCAGTCATGGTGATGATGATTTGAACGGGGCTGGAATGAGGAATGGCTCGATTTCATCAAAATCTCGTCAAAGAGGTTATTGCCCGGTAGCTGAGCCCAGTTGGACAATTGCTGGAGGGTCGAGCATTCGTGCTTACCACATCCTCAACGACAAGCGACACGTGTTGACCAAAGACACTGCTGGGAATGTAGAACTTTTTGATGTGCTGAAGGTGAGTTAGTTCGTAAATTTCTTGTTCATTGAAAAACATCGAAGAGCGGCTTAGAGAAGATTTGATTTATAGTTTCGAAAAGTTATCTCTCTGAATGTAAATTTGGTGAGGCAAAGCTGTACCCTTATTTGTGTTTTCAGTTTTCTTGCAAAAGAATCATTTGAATGCAATTGACTTTTTTTTCTTGTTGTCTGAAACCTTGAAGCTTTCGGTGTTTCCTCAGGCTGTGAAACTTAGCAATTTGGGAAAGATCGATTTCGCGGAAGAAGTGAGAAGAAGGAATCCAATGGTTGCTGTTCCCAGTTGGTTTTCAGTTGATTTGAAAACAGGGGTAATAGCTGCAGTACAAATGCTTTCTTCAAGATTTCAACCTCTGCCTTTTCGTTTTTAAGATGCTCTGCATTCACCTCGCACAAGATGAAAACGATTGCTTCTCTGCTTGGGTTTCTTCGAGAGAAGCTGGAATCGCTTTAAATGATGGTCCGGATCAGAAAGGTTTGTGTTCAAAGTGCAGATTTTTAATTCAGAAAACTGATAAAAATTTTATTTTTAGTCAATTACGGCGGACTGTTGCTTTCGGCATTGCTCGAACACTGGCCTAGAACGTTCATGGAAAGCGAGGAAGACGAGAAGATAGTATTGAAAGGAAATCCATATTTTAAAGTTCCACTTCATACCCCGGTGATATTTAGGTGAGTAATCGTCGAAATCGGGGAAAAGCTGTTTTAGTTTAGAACATCTTCACGGAGCAGATCTCCTGAAGGAAAGCTGTATGTTGGAAGAAACGCGATTTTTGAGGGAACCCTTGTGCTCCTGGGAATTTTTTTATTCATGGCAATATTTCTCGTAAACATTTTTTTTGTTTTTCTTTTATTCGTTTCAAGTGAGGTTGGTGGGCGAACATTGTACCGATTGCTTGTTCGAGACGCTGGTGGGGACACTGAGTGTCTCTTGCTGAATGAAACAGTCCCACATTGGGTTCTGGACGTGGTCATCGATCGTAATTCTCCTCGTTTCCACAAAATCCCCTTCTTCTTGGTTCCGCATCCTTCGTCAGGAATAAAAGTTGCCAAGAAGTGAGTTACATAGTACTCGAGCATGGACAGATTTTTCACCAACTCTTCACTCTTCAGGGATCGGTTGATTGCGAACGACTTCATTCAGATTAGGAAAGTAATGGAGCACGTTTACGAGAAGGTCATGCCTACGACAGGAGTCAATATGGGCTCGTTGGGGTCTGCTTCAAGTCAGCAACAATCGTCTACATCTGGTCCTCAGTACCAAGCAACAAATTATGGTGCGTTTCTCGAAATTTTGGGCATTCCGAAAAGAGTATGCCTCTTTGAATCGTGAATCTTTTTTTCGTGACGAATTCTTCGCGATTCTATGATGAATTTTTACTTCAATCGACGAAAATGTCGAACTCTTCTGTTACCTGAAAATGTTTTGCATTGATTTAAAAAAAAAATAGCGGTAATGTTTCTTATACGAGGAATTTTTTAAACTGAATTTTGCTCCATATAAATTGCTAAAATGATTGTCAGAATTTATACTTGAACTTCGCTTGACGAAGAGCTCGGATTAGTTTTTCTTCCGAATTCCTTCAGCTTAATAACAAAATCGTTGATGGTCATTTATTGTAGCCGGACAAAATGGTGGTGCCAATGGATCTGGTGATCCTGATGAAGGAGATGCTGCGAGTAGAACCAGTTCACCTCCGAAAAATAGTGGGGACGACGAAACCTCATCCCTTGCAGAAGAACGAATTGAAATATTCTGCGATGGACAGGTTTGTTTTCAGTTGAAAAAAACATCATGTTTAAACACTTCCATCAAAATACTTATAATGCTGTTTCTGTTGATCATTCTCCTTTGAAAATTATTCAATTTGTAACTTGTAATATTGTTCGATTGTCTAACCTGACGGATGATTTTGAAAATTTAGAAAGTGGACCCGAGCATGGACCTCAGGACGGTGAAGCAGTTCATATGGAAAACTTCGACAGATTTGATCCTTCATTATAGACCGATCAAGTGACATTCCAAGAGTTCGGCTCTCGCACAAACTCTGTTGCGCCAGTCGTTGAACCTTCGCCCTTAAAAATTACTTCCGTCTTCAGCGAAAATTGTTTATTCGCTAATATGTTTTGCATTCGACGCTGGACCGGAGGAAAATCGTCGTTGCAGCGCATTCCGATACGCCAGTTTGTTAAAAATATTTACCTGAACGTTCGGCTTGCAAGTAAGACTCGGTTTTTTTTTTTTTTAACCTCGCGTGAAATGAATTCCCGCAAAAAGCAAAGCGCTCTTTGAATCCGATGCAGTGAGAAAGTTTCACGCTGTTTCGGGTTTGGGTTCTGAGGCTCGGTGTTGACGAATGATTGCTAGGATGTTTTAAGAATGTTCGGGAATTTTATTTGACGATTCTTCAGTTCTCGAACGTGTGGAAGCCATTGTCATTGATGGATCTCGGAAACGGTTTTTGGAGCGAGTTTCGAAGACTGCTTTTGCGCCGTCATTGTTTCAGAAAGAGTTATCGGTGCTTTCGCGGTTATGACTACATGCGTCGTTCTACGGATATTGATGTTTTATTTAGAGCTTTCGAATTGGCTCCCGAGTTGAGTGACTCGTGTGTTGCGTACCTGATGATTTGCGATCGTTAGCAGCTTGATATTTAGGTGGTGAATACTCGGGTGAAATTGTTCTGATCCCCTCTTTATCAGCCAGGAGGAACTCGACTTCTGCGTTGTCTGCGTGTGAAAGGAAAGGGGATTTTTTTATTCGTGGTCATCTTGATCTGAGCAATACTGTTCTTGTTCCGCAAAAAAAGCTTTTTGCTTTAAATTCTATCTGCGATACTGTTGAACATGTTAGTGCCAGTTTTACTATTCTGAGCGGTTTTGATTGATGATGTAATAGCTGCTTGCGTTTGTTTAATCGCTAGAAAACGTAGCTTTTTTGTAGTGGACGTGGTGATAAAATGTTTACAGACTCTCGAGTCTACCGTTGTTGAAAGGTTTAAAAGTTGATCCGCTTTCCGCACGAGCTTTTTCGAAATTGCCCGAAAATTTCCTTTGCTCTTTGCTGATTATTCAATTGCCATGAATATTCGGCGTAATTTTGCTCTCATTCAGAATGACCGCGATGTTTTTCCTCGAATTTCTGCCCATTTTGTGCGAAGTTGTGTTCATAAGTAGACGGGCACTTTGTGATACATCTGTTAGCCCGAGATTTTATGGATTTTTTCCCGAACGGTTTCTTCGGGAACCTCTTGCCACGTTTATCAACTTCGTCACTGACGTTTTCTTGATTTTTTCCCTACCAGCTGTGATCCGCGATTGGGAATTCGTTTCGCTCCTCCAGAAAATCCAATTCCTTGTCAAGTCTTGAAAGAGCCAGGAGGGCGAGAAAAACAATTTCGTGTGTAAAACTGTTGTTTTTGTATTCCAGAAGATGACGTGTCGAGTGACAGTCCTGCGTGATTTACGGTAATGCCAAAGCATATTATTTTGAGGTACGATTTAATTTTGGTTGTGATTTGAATTTAATTTTTAGCAGGTACTGCAAGTACTTGATTCTCTTGAATCCGAGGGGTGTATTATGTGTAGTACTTTTAGCTCGCTGTTAGACTCATTAATTTATTCCGTCGTCCAGTCCCAAAATTGGCATAGTTAAGGAATGTCACGCTGACAAGTCGTCGTCTGGTCTTTCAGTCTAACAAAAAAACTCTGTTCCGGATATGTAATGATAAGTACATGAATTTTCTCGTGTTTCAGGATGGATATGATGGAAGTTGAGAATGTAGCCCCGAAAGTGGAACCGACAAAGCCTTGTGAATGGGTTTCACCGTTCAAGTATTTTGTGGAAACGTGTCGCGAGATGCATTTGGCTCGACATCCTGGGCAGCCCGTGGACGTGAATGAAATCAAAACGAAATGTCGCGAGCGCTGGAAGGTTAGATTATATTTCTGTGAATATTTATAAATTGCTAAATCTGAAGCCCAAGTTTGTATTTTTTATGGGTATTGGTTTGAGTTAAAATTGAGGCGACCCCGGCTTATGTTTGACGCGTACTTTCATTAAAGAAATCCCCGGTTCAGCTTTTTTTATGCATTAACATACGAGGAATGGTTCATTGTGCCCATTGTGAGTTTTTGTTCTTCTACCCGAGTCTAATTTTTTTTTTTCATATTTTTATGCTATTTTAGTATATTTTCTCTTTCTCGAGCCACTGTTACAATGTGGGGCCATCGTAATTCAAGTGTTCAAAAGGCTGGGATTCGAAATTTCACCCGGATTATTACATTGCTTGAATTCAAGGAAATTGTTCAAGGGAACTGTCCGCTTTCTCACGACCGTGTTGCATTCTAAAAATATTAACATTTTGTCAATTTCGTCAGTGATGCTAAACTTGAAAATTGCCCGACAATGTTGATTGCTAGAACGAAGGCTGCGATCACCAAAAATAATCTGTTGCGAATAAGCGGAAGCTTCTTATCTTGGAAATTCTAACTCAAAAACTTGGGCAACAAAATAGTTTTTTCTAAGGCACTGTTGTTACAGTATTTCTGAAAAATTTCATTTTTATTAACTGCGAGAGTTCTCCCCTTGCCCGTTGCTTGGCAGACGAACTGGTGGGGTCGACGAATGGAAGTGGTTCAACTTTGTGTTCAGTAAAGCCGTTCATATAAATCTTCCGCTTCCATCTAGACGATGACCGATGCTCAAAAGTCCCGTTTCGTGAGCATGTCGGACAAGGATAAGGTCAGGTTCGATTCGGAGATGAGGGAATACAACAAGTTTGCCCCGACGGTCATTGAGGACAAGCCGCCAGCGACTGAATCTGAGTCTGAGGACCTTATCGTTCCCGCTCATGAGACCAAGAGCAACAAGAAAGTTGGCGGAAAAAAGACCAACAGCCCTAAAATCCCTAAACAAGCCGTTGACGAAAAGCCCAAGAAAACCCGTGCCAAGAGGGAGGAAGGATTACCGAAGCGAGCCAAGTTGGTTCATTCATTTTTTTCTCTCTGTGGTCTTGGTCTGGTGAATTTCTAATTTAATTATTAGGCGATGTTGATAACGACCACTTCAGACCCGTGCTGGGGAATTTCAGTTTTATTGAAACTCCTGACTTTTTTGGGACGATTTTTCATCGTTTGACTGTTGCATTTTAGATTTCCGCATTTCTTACAAACAAAATTCTTTGCTGAATAGTCTAGTGATTTCTGGTCACGGGACAGGTGATTTAAATTTTTTTCGCCTTGTTATTGCAGAACGGCGTACATGTTTTTCATGAACACAAGTAGGGCGGAGTTTTGCGATCACGCACGCAGCGTGTCTCGTGACGTTATTAAAGATTTGGGAAAGCGGTGGCATTCACTCACGCCAGAAGAAAAGATTCCTTATGAGAATTTGGCAGAACAGGACAAAGAACGATTCAAAAAGGTCAGACCTGCGGGTTTTTGCGTGTTGTTGATTGTAGATCCCTTGAAGATCTGTATTTGGTAGGAGATGGAGATTTACGAGAAGAAGAAAGCGGAAATGATGGTGATTCAGAATCATCAGCCGATGGACGAAGATGGTGATCAGAACAACGACGGAAACTCCGTGAACGAATTTGGCGACGACTGAAACTGTGCTGAAAAATTTGGTGGCCGTGTAGACAAAGTGGAAATTTTTTTTTCGAGCTGTGCAACGAAAAGCTTTTTTTTCTGCCCATTACATTCGGTGTAATCCTGGTGCCAGAAGTTATTTGTGAGGGTGATCATGAAGCACAGGTTGGTGATTTTTTTTGCGCGTGTATTGGGAGAAGGTGAAAATTTCTGCCCCGCCGTGAGGTTATGTTACCCTGTTTCCGGGCCACTGCTTCCAACAGTTCTTTCCAACAATCCCCGGAGTCTGCGATCTCTTCAAATCATTTTTTTGTAGATTTTTCTTCTTACTCGTGATTTGACACCGATTGGTTGATAGTACTGATTCGTAAAAGTGAAATTAGCGCGAAGTGAGTCGGAAACACGGTTCGAACTTTGGTAAGATTTTTTTTTTTGGGATGGGGCAGGATCGATGCTCGTGGAGTCTGTTCCACTGTAGAAAGCGCGACATTTTGAGTCTCTGAATCGGATTTGATGATGAATCTTGAGTTAGATCTATGTCGGCTGATTTTTTTTGCGGTTAGTATATTAATGTGCATTGTGGATTGCTTCTCGGTGTCGTGCTTCGAGAAATTCAGCCAAAGTTTGAACTGAGTGGCTCATCTGAACTTCAGCGCAAGTAACTCGAGTGCTTGGGTAACATTAAACGAAGTGTTGCTGTACAGCTAAGTAATGAAGCGGTCAACAAGGTGCCCTGAACGCGGCTTTGGAACAATTGAAGAAAACAGCTGCTAGGTTATCCTCGATCCAAAACTCAGGTTTTTTTTTTATAGTGTCCTCATTGAATCTCCAGAGTTGATCTCTCATCTGGTTTTATTTCGACATCCGAGAATCCTCTTCATTCCCACCATTCAACGCCATTTTCCGACTTATGTTTTGCTGTTGAGTCTCGAGGGTTTGCGCAAAAGTTTTCAAGCTTTTCTGCTGGCATTTTTTTGAAGAAGCCGAGTGTGCTAAAAGATTTTTATTTTTTAAATGCATTTAGGTAAAAATTGAAAATATTTTTTTCTGATTGTTCGGGCATGAACCGTAATATCGAACATAGAAATGGTTATTTTTCAAATTCCTTACCAAGAAATTGCATTTGCCGATGAGGTGTTCTCGATTTTTGGGCAGCTGCGTGTTTCCAACTATCTTCGTTTTCAGAAGTTTGGGTTTTACAGTGGGTTCTCCACAGTTTATTCAGCAGCGTTTTTCACGATTCGCGGGAAGTTTTCGTCTTCACAAGCAGCATTTAGCAAGTGTTCTTTATTTAACTTCTAAGCCTTGTTGTTATCACATGATATTGCGGAAAAGGTGAATGAGCTTTTCACGAGTTACCAGACGTGTTTTGGCAGAAAAGAGAGAAAACTTTGTGCGAACCCTTATCGGAAGCGTCTTCTGATTGCTGTTGAGCAGCGTTCCGTTTTGGTGTGGGAAGCACTCCGTGGAAAATGTGTTCGATCGCGTCAGATTTCCTTTTTTTTTTTGCTGTACGAACAATCCATTCGTTGTATTTAACAAAATAAAAAGCATGGCTGCTTCGCTGAAATAGGGAAACTAGAAATGAAGAGCGTTCCAGGTTTGTGCGATTCATTCGGCGAATTATTTCGTCCCGTTTTTGTTCGTTCTCCGCAATAAAACTTCTGAGGGGTTTATCGGAAAAGTTACTTCAGGGTAGTGCAAAAAGTAGACGAATATTTTAGAGTTGTTAATTCCTGGATGGTTGAATGTAAAGCGTTGAAAAAAGGCATGCTTATTGATGTACCTTCCTAGTTCTGAAATTATTTATAGTTTTAGTTGCAATGGGTTGACAACTGCTGGGATTATATAACGTGCCACCGGTTAAGTGAAGATACCACTTGTTTTTGTAGCCTTTTAATCTTGACTCTGCCAGTTTTCTGAATTTGATCATGTATGCAACTAAGTTTTGCTGTAATGCTGGAAATACCGATGGACTCTCTCTGAATAGTCGAATGCAGAGAGAATTCTACTGTAGTAAACCCCTATAACTTGAGGAGAGAACTCTGTCACTAAAAAAAAACTACTGTACAGGGGAAATTATTTTAGATTGCTGTAAAAAGCAAGTAGGAAAACGATTACATTACTGTATTTTTATTAATGTAGTGCATAATAAATACTAATGTTTTGTTAGCATATTTGCATTAATACTTGAACCATTGCAAAGCAAGTGCTTGAAAAATCACTTTTTTTGTAGTCCAGTGTGTCAAATCATCTTGTTCATAGTTCTGGAGGAACTCATTCAAGATAAATTAGGCTTTGGAATTTATGGTTGAGCAAAATTGTTTCAAGAACTCTTCTGGGGTTCGAAAAAGTGCATTACCTGTAAATATAGCGCTGGGCGAATTTGCGTTTTTTTTTTTTCGCTTCAGTGAATACAAATTTCACGAGCAAAGCATTTTCCTCGCCTTTCTCGCCACCTGGCTTTGAGTTGTATTCACCAGCAACAACCGTTTCGCGACAGAAGGCAAGTCCGGTTTTTACGGTTCATCGCCTCTCGGAAAACGTCCTTCCGCTCTGTGAAAATTTCGGAGATTGCTTTGAAGGAGATCAGGCTTTTGCAGCAGTCCTCCAGCATTTGCTTCAAAGAAGGTCAGCGACTAAAGAGAAAAAAAGTACTGTGTACTTGGTAGTGGACTGCTGGAGATAATTTAATGGGACAATCTCTTGCCTTCGCTGCAACGTTTCAGTACTGTCCTTTTGTCTTGTTAATCCGAAAAGATTAAGGTGTTTTATAGGGGTGCCCGTCGGGAGAGACGTTCCACTTGAAAGAGCCCAGCAGTTGGCCACATTACGGTTTTCCATGCCGAAGGTGTCTGAATATATTATTTAAAGGATCCCGACAAAGAAAAAAATATGATCGAGGTTGAAGTAATAGCGTCTTGAATGAGGAGCTATTTCTGAAACTTGCATGTCTCGAACAGTTTCAAGTACACACGCGATGCTTCCTGCTGTCCACAGCCCGTATTCCGACGAGGTACTGGATAAGTATCGTAATAATTCGTCGTGAAGGATGAAATAATGGTCACGCCGAGGGGCTGGAACTGGTTTCCATCTATACGAGGGTTGTCCCATAAATGCACACGAACTCTGATATTTTTAGGGTATGGATGTGCGATTGTGAAAAAATAATCAATATTAACATCATGACATAGCCCATAATATTCTAAGGTTTCTAGGATTTTTTTTTTTCGAATTTATGAAAAAGGTTTTTTATTTAACTGCATGATGATGAGTAAAAACTTTCCAGTTGAAGCTAGCATTCTTCACCCAGCATGTCACGGGGTGCTAAAATTTGTCAGGCCAACTAAAAAATGAATTTTTTTTGTTTAACCATTAACTAAAATGTAGAAAACATAGATAAACAACACGAAAATTTAGATTTTTAGCTGGCCTATAAAATTTTAGCACCCAGCTTCAAAAAATCGGAATTTATTCGTTGTTTCAACCTTTACCTAAAATTTAGAAAAAAAAATAATTGATAGAACAGCGAACAAATTTTTAGCTGGCTTGACAGATTTCAGCACCCTGTGACATATGAGAGGAGAATGCTGGTTTTTACTGGAAAGTTTTTTTCGTATCATCTTGCAAAGAAATTGGAAAACTTTAAAATTCTGAAAAAATCACAAAACCTTTGAATAGCATGGGCTATGTCATGATGTTTATTTATTTACTTCCACAATCACACCGACTCCAAAAATATCAGAAGTCACGTCCAACGGGGACAACCCTCTTATCCAGCAGCAGGGTTGACCATCATCATGCAAAAAAAAATCCAGGGCCAATATTTATTCGGTAATTTTTGTGGCTATCTGAGTAATGTCTGTAATTTACGAGGATATTTGAACGACTCGTGCATATACATAACTAGACCAATCGTCGCGCGAACCCTTCAATTTCCACGTGTTACATTTTTTTTTCGTACAATTTTTAAAAATTGCAGGCTATAGGTCACTTAGTGCCACCAGAATTATAAAAATAGAAAGCCTCTTCTGAAGTTTTTTTTTTTAACGTGCGGCTTAAAACCATTATTCTGAAAATATCGCCGACTTAAAAGCGGGAATTTTCTGCTCGGCGTTCTACCCTTCGTTCTAAAAAAATGTTATTGGAATCAACAAGTCAAAATAAGATGAGAAACTGAATTTGCTCAAATATTAGTAATATTACTGCGGGAAGCTCGTATGAGGAATTCTTCCATTTTCAAGTGTGAAAGTTGGTACATAAGAGCAAAAACACCAAAAACTTGAAAAATTGTTTGTTTTCTTAGGAGCCACATTTTAAATATGCGTGTTTGGATGAGCTCCTCTGTCTATTTTTCGAAGAAGAATTGTTTGCGTTTGGTACGTTTTTCTCCAATAGAATGACATTTTTCTTGATAAATTTGCAGTACTGTACTGGACTGAAGAAACAATTTTGAACATGTCGTGTTAAAAAAAATGTTACACAAGAAACCATTGGCAAGAAATCCCATTTGAGCCCAAGTTCAGAATATGATCGTTATGTTTATTTTGTCACATGTTAAAAAATTTTGTCACATTATATGTTTCTCATGTATGTCATTTGGAACTGATTCAACACTTCTGCCGTAAATCAAAATCTGATGCGTGTAAAAATTCCGTAGATGATGCGCAGAACAATCTAATAAATATTCCTCAATAATTTTACAAAGTAAATTTCATCTTTGCTGTGCAAAATGTTTTTTTATTTCTTTGTTTATTTCAAGCATTTTTAAAGTCCGAGTGTGCGTCTGAAATAAATTTCAATGGCTCAGGCTTGCATACACTAACTGGAAATGGTGCTTTGGTTTATTTTGGAACTAGAAAGTATAACTGGTTTTAGATTTTCGCGACTTTATACTGGGCTACGATATGATTGCTTTGACTCAAATTCAAAGCTGAGGTCCAGTACGTGTTAATCGCGTCACGTTTTGCCCGAGAATTCGCGAGAAAGCATTTGAATTTTATTGAACGTTTGTACAGGAGAAAGGCAAATTTACCACCCCCCGAGCATCGAGAAATTCGAAAAGCCTTTTCATCATTCGAAAATGAATGGTAATTTGAAAAAAAAATATATATAAATAATTTTCATCGCCTGCGATTTCCGCAGCAGCAGAGCGAAAGATATTCTTTTACTCTCTCAAGAACGTGGCTGATGGAATTCCAGTATCGCCTGCTGATGGTATCGGGACATCATGAGTGTCCCAATTTTGTCATCAAGCCCAGCTCGCAGCAGTCATTATCGACTTCCTTCTCCACACACACACACAAAACAAAACAAAATAAAAAAAGAGATGAAGAATTTGAAGGGAAAAAAGGTCATCGAACGTCTCGGGAGCGATTGAGCCGCGATCCCCCGAGAGTCACGCCTGTGTTCCCGTTTCAAAAACCTGTTCACAATAATCGGGTCACCGTTGGATCGGTTTCACCGCGATGAGACGCTAGATAATTGCGGTAGAGAAAGAAATGCATCTGGGGCTTCCACACAATTAACAACGTCGGTTTATAGCGGGTAAATTACGGAGATACAAACTGATAAAACTTCTCGACACACACGCTGTTGCGCGCGCACGAATTAATGAATTTTTGCAGCTTTTACTAATGCGACGATTTTTTGCGTTTTCCCCCCTCGCTTCTCTTGCTGCTGCTTTTTCGACAATTTTTTTCTTCCCTTAACCACCACTTTTTTGTTTTGTTTTGATCCCTCTTTTTCAATTTTTTTTTTTCTTCTACCTCATAACATGTCCCCAACTCTTCGCTTCTTTTTGCGTTTTGGATTTTTGGCTTTTTCTGGTGGCGTCTCGCCTCGTCACGTTTGGCGCCTCAATGTTTTTAAACATCCGGCGTATATGAAAAAATCTCCGGACGATAGTTTTGAGTGAGTACTACTGGACTTTTTTTCCGTATCCTCATTCCGTCTCATGTACACTCACAGTTTCCACACGTAATAACATCACTATGAGGAAAACGAAACGGACCTTCGTGTGACAGCGAGTGTAACTTGATTAAAAGGCTGGTCGAGATGTATAAATATTTTTTTTTTGTGTTTCGACCGAGACTTGACACAAAGCATCGCTCCCTTTCTCGATTGCCGACGTTGTTCCGGGTTGACATACTTAGTAGCAGAATTATTATTTTTTTTTTCCTTCCTGGAAAAGGTTTGAGTTTTCTTTACTTAGGTCCGCTAGTCAGTCCGAGTGTTTTTGTTGTCAGCCATTCTATACATACCGTTTTTTTTGTCACTGCGAAAAGAGAGACGAACCATGGAGAAGGGGGCTTTTGTGAGGTTTTGAATGTCACCGAGGGTTCTGAGGATAATTTGAAAGAAATGAAAAATTGCGCGACTGTTGACTTTTTTCTGCATGATTGGTTTTTTTTCATTTTTTGCTTGAGCAGTTTGGCTTGCATGTCGCATGTTTGTATGCCACGAAGTTCGCACCTAGGATTCATTTGTGGGGAACGAGAAAAGATATGTTGAAGAGCACCTTATGGATGTGGATGACGCACATTATTTAATTATTTTTTGTTCTCTCGTGAGACAATTCCGATGACGGCTTTCGAGTTGCAGGTCCATTTTTTCAGGTAAATTCTTTGCGAGGGTTTTTCTAATGCTTGCTTTTTTTCGTGTCTCGTGTGCGGAAATGAATGAATGGATCGATCAAATCAGTTCCCGGAGAGCCGCAAGAAGTGCAAGTGGCTGTGTTGAACTCGACGTCAGTCCGCGTGACGTGGAAGCCGCCGAAGGAGAAGGAGAAGCACGGAGTCATTCTCGGCTACCAGTTCAACGTGCAAGAGACGCGGAAAACGCGCGGGGAGAAGGTCATCAGTGATCCAGGTCATTATTTGGAGCTGAATGGGTCGGCCACGGCCTTTACCATAGCCGACTTGCAGCCGGACACCAAGTACCAGGTCCAGGTCTCGGCCATGACGCGAAAGGGTGACGGCGCGCGCAGCAAAATCATCAACTTTGCCACGCCCGGCGGGGTTCCGTCCAGGCCCACGCTGAAAATTAGGTGCGTTTCTTTTCTTTTCTTTTCTTTTTTTTTTGTTGATGGGATGGGGGGGGGGGGGGGCGGGGGGTTGCATACGAAATTGCGGTCGGGTGTGCATGCAGTAAAGAGAGAGAGAGATCTGCGAGAATTCCATTGACCGGTTTCACTGTATTTTTCAAGGTGTTTCAATTTGGAAAAAATTCGAAACATTTTCATTTTGAACATTCGACAGCAACAAGGAAAAAAAAACTTATTTGTACGAGTCGAGCACAGTTTGGAAATTTGGGTCAGATTAAGAGAGATTTGCGAGAATTCTGTTTACTGATTTTAAACGTCAATGTGCAGTAGTTTAATTTAGTAAAATTGGAAGCATTTCCAGTTCAACATTCACCGATATCTTCAAGAAATAACATCTCTTTTTCCGAGTCGAGCACAGTTTGGAAATTTGGGTCAGATTAAGAGAGATTTGCGAGATTTCTGTTTACTGATTTTAAACGTCAATGTGCAGGAGGTGAATTTAGTAAAATTTGATGCATTTCCATTTGAACATTCACCGATATCTTCAAGAAATAACATCTTGTTGTCCGAGTCGAGCACAGTTTGGAAATCTGGGTCAGATTAAGAGACATTTGCGAGAATTCTGTTTACTGATTTTATTCTACTTGTCAATGTTTCGTAATTTTTGTCACTGTGTCGTAATTTTTGTCAATGTGTCGTAATTTTGTCAATGTGTCGTAACATTAAAATTATCTCGTTTTTTTCGGGGATGGCAGAGCTAGTGAATTTGGGTTGGATGTTGTGAGATTTTCGAGAATACAATTTCAATTGTACTTTAATTCAGAAAAATGCAAAAGCATCTTCATTTAAGCCTTCAACTATAGCCATGAAAAACATCCTGTTTTCTGGGTCGAGCAGAGCCTGGAAATGTGGGTCAGATGAAGCGAGAGATCTCCGAGAATTCAGTTCACTCATTTCAAATGCCGATGTGCAGTATTTACATTTAGTATAATTCGAAGCATTTTCATCTAATCATTCAAAGACAGCAGCAAAAAATATCCTGGGTGGAGCAGAGCCTGGGAATTTTGAGTCCGATGAAAATAAATTTGCAAATTTCAAGTTTTGGTTTTTACGTATCAATATTTTTTTATTTAGCATTTTATTTAAACATTCAACGACAGCAACAATAAAACACATCTCATTTTCCGGGTTGAACAGAGCCTGGGAATTCGTATCAGATGTAGAGCAATTGGCGAGAATGCAGTCTACGTGTTATGCTGCACTTGTCAATTTGAAGCGTTTTCTTTTGAAAATTCAACGACAGCTGAAGAAAATATCTTCCCGGGTCGAGCGAAACCTGTGAATTCTGGTCGAATGCAGAGAGATATGCGAGACTGATTTTACCTGTATGTGTAATTTGAATTTAGAAGCGTCTGAAGTATGTATTATCATTTGAAGATTATATGGCGAAAAAGAAGGCATGTTTTTTCGACCGGGATTTTTCAGGCTCGGAAGAGTTACTTGAGAACATCGTTCAGAGCTTAAGAGGAAACCGATGAATTTGTTTTTAGGGTTTGCGTTTGAGGACTCGATTTTCCTGGGATTATACCCGCTATTCAATTTTCTGATTAGAGTATTCCTAAAATGTTTGCCTGGAAATGTTTTGTTCTTTATAGACTCTATAAACTGTGCAAAAAAAGGCTTTCTAATCGTCGTGCGCTGAAGAAGTTTTTTTTTTCTGCCTACTCTCAACTAATAATTTGTAATTCTTCTTCCTTTTTAATTATTTGATGGAATGAGAATATCACATTCAAGCGCGTCTCTTTTTTAATGCTTCAATCAATTTTCCAAGTGAGGTTTTATGTGAAGTCTTGAATCGCATTGTAGTCGATAAGCTTGATTTCATCTTTTTTCGCTCGTATTCCCTTAGACTTGCGGAAGGGACCTCAAACGGGGTATCGATCGAAGCCTCGTGGTCTCAGCCGAAAGAAACGTTCGGAAAGATCGTGGGATGGCGACTGAAATATGGCAAAAGATTGCCTACGCCTTCGCAGCAGCTCTTCGGTGTATCGCCGCAGGCAAAGCCGGAAGGTCAGACTGACGACATGGACGAACTTTCAGCTACTCCCACACAACCACCGCCGATTACTGAAATCAACATTGATAATCCGGACGAAACTCGTTATGTGCTCCAGGAACTGGGTAAGTTTGAGTGATTCATTCCAGGTTAGGATATGTGATGCAATGGAACCAGTGGTGTATTAATCGTTTTTTGTTCAGCAGATTTGACTGAATCACTCTTGCGGGAGCATTTAACCGTCCTTTTGTATCGAACTTGAATGAGAAAGTGATGTCATGAAAGAGAGTTATACATACATGTACAGTATCTTCTTCAAGATTGTTGTGGTCCTGTTTTACGAGGCTTATGAGGAATTGAATGCTATTTAAATTTTTGCTTATGTTTAGGATTTTCAGATTTCTACCATCAGTTGCTGTAACGATTCTGAGCCTCGTTTTGAAATGACTGACAATCAAAGTCGAAACAATTTCATAATTTCAAAGCATAATAAAATCCTCGGGAATCTTCGAGAAAAGAAACTCTGTGTTCGGAATCGATATCCTTTCTTTACGAAAGTTTTTCTCTAAAGATAGTTTCTAAAGAAAATATACAAAAAAGCAAATGCTGTACATTTTTTCTCTTTCATCTTCAGTTGACCTTGCTTGATGGAGTATCAGGCAAGTGTGACCTGAAATACTGACGTAACCAAGAATAACTGTGACGTCGCGATACTCAATCACCTGCAAAATTTTCATTTACAAGGGATTAGCATATTCCTAGTACTGTACGCGCTCTACCATGAGATAAGCTACGTGATCATGACGTAACTTACTTGAGCCGAAACTGGACTGCAGTACTTCACCTTGCCGTAGAAAATCTTTCAACGCATACGAGTACAGGAAAGTTCGGTCGCCTCTTGGTCAAGAAAATCTCCAGAGTTGGAGACGAAATGCTGAATGGATTGAGTGAAGGACTGTGCATTTATTGCTCAGGAAATACCATCGAACCTTTCTGAGTGGAATTCAAAGGAACCAGCAAACATTTTCAACTGTCTGAGATTTCTAGCTTTAAAAAAATAATTAATAAATAAAGCATTATTGTTTGGGGACAAAAATTGCGAGAAATTGTAATTGCTGTTATTTTGTGCCTTAAATTGCAACCTGAATGAGTTGACGCGATGCTGAAGTTGAAGGCAAGGGTTGTTTTGTCCAATTTGTCTTTCCCTTCCTTTTGATAGCACATTGTTACATCACCATTGATTTCATCTTTCCTATTTCAATGAAATAATAGCCGAAGGCCTTCAGAAAATTGGAATTATGGAGGTTTTTAATGCACTGTTTTATCGGGGAATTGAGACGGGGTTTAGAAAACATCCGACATAGGGAGGTATTATTCGAGTTTTCATGGAGGTTCAGCTGTAGTACTGTACTTATTGCAAGCCTTGAGTGTCTGTTCTCAGATTCAGAGTTGCATTAAAGTCATACCCGTCGAATTTTTGCTTTACAGAAAAGGGATATGATTACGAGTTTCGTTTGGCTGCGAGAAACGCGGAGGGTCATGGGCAGGAATCGGTTGCCTACATAACGACCCCCGATGGACCCCCGACCGGCCCACCGACGAACATTCAGGACCACACCATCACTCCGGACATCCTCGTTGTAACCTGGGATCCACCGGAAATGCCGCACCGGAACGGTCGCATCATCGGCTACACGTTGCAGTTCCACAAACGTCGAGATGACTATTTGTTCCTGGAACGAAACGTCACGAACCCGAAAGTGAGTCCCTTCATTCTTCTAACCTTTCTCGCTCTGATTTTGAAGATGAAAAGTTGTGGGTTTCGTCTAGGAAATATTTTGGTTGAGTGGATCGTTGCATACCGTATCTTCATTTTATTTGTTTTTTTTTTTTCTGAAGGTTGTGATCCAGAGTTTAGAAGAGGATACGTGGTACTATTTCCGAATTCGTGCGTATACTAGTCGAGGGCCGGGTCCCTGGTCGGAAAATGAAAGCTTCAAGACAATCCGTGAGATAGTGAGAGCCCCTTTGAATGTGCGTGCCATGGCCACGTCTGAGTCTTCTGTCGAAGTCTGGTGGGAAGAAGTGCCTGGAGCAGAACGAATTGTTGGCTACCGAGTGAGTGTCGGGATTTTGATGGATCTTGTGATGCATGTTGTTTGATTTTTCTATTTCAAAGTGACGTTTACTGAATTTACTTGTAATCCCTCGCGTCCATCAGAGTCAATGATTTGAAAACAAATTTGTTGAGCTCATTTTGAAACAATGCGTAGGTTTAAAATGAAAAATGCTTTCCGTACAGATTTATTACACCATGATGGCGACAGAAGACCTGGACACGTGGTTGCACAAAGATGTTCCAGCTACATTTTCCGCCGAAATTCAGAACCTTGAGAGGCACACGTCATTCGCGATCAACGTCGCGGCCAAAACGAAAGAGGTTTGTTTTGGTTATTGATTTTTTTTTCAACGCTTTGAAGTATCAAAATGATTAAATGAAATCGGTTGTTTAGGGTTATTTGGGTCGTCTGAGTGAAACAATCACGGTGAAGACGAAGCCTCAGGACGTGCCGATGTGGCTGGTGGCGGACAGTGTGTCGACCCATACGATGGACATTCGTTGGGAAGCCCCGCGTGTCATGACACCCATGCAATACCGGGTACGATTTCTTTTAAATCATTTATTGTCTTCTGGTCTTTTTTCCCATGAATTTTGAACGCTCTCCGTGAAGATCCGTCTTCATAGGATTTGTTTTTGTCAAGTATTTTTTATTTATTTATGGTTTCGTTAAATTTGATACACGGTCGAGCGATTGTAGGGTAAGTAATGTGTGAACCGCGGAAGATGTGTTGAAGCTGATAAAACACCGCTTGGCTCAAAAAATATAATATTCCAGGAAGTTTTGAGCGTACAGTATAATAACGTTCTTGGGATTTTTATTAAAAAAAAAAGGTGAAAAACTTCAGAAGAATGCAAAATCTTATCGTTATCGTGAAAGCACGAATTTTTCGGAGTCTGGGAGAGGATCGAAAAACGTTTGGGCCTTCTCTTTTTTCACACGAGTCCTATACCGGAAGAAATGATTGGCACCCTGTAAACAAGCGTTATTTAGCGAGAAGAGAATGAAGCAAAAAAACGTTTTTGACGTCATCAAGAAAATCAGTCTTGTTTCTCCGTATCAGTTATAATATCTGTGAATGAATCGCGTTTGGATTCACCTTTTCAAACGTTAAAATGTTGTGTCGTCTTTTAAAGATTCAAAACTGCCATGTTTTCGGAAGGATGGTACTCTCTTTTGCGCCTTCATTTGACGTACGTTCCATCAGTAAGACTGTATTTTCGTCAGCCCCGAATTATTCGTGTTTTTTATGGGCCTGGTAGCGCGTGAATCGCCATGTGTGCGTTGACTGTTGAATACTCCTCGTTTTGATGAAGTCGTGAAGTCGTTCCGTAAAGATTCCGTAGCATTTGAAACGCGAGATCTGATTACAGTTCTTATCCTGCAAAAGCAGATTGCCTTTGATGCTGTGAAGGAGTTCGTCGACGCCGGTGGAATGACGCAAAGGCGGAAGATTCCTGCGCGTGTAATGCTCGTTGGCCCAGATGTGTACTCGAAGCACATCGAGGACCTGACCCCATTTACAACTTATTCGGTGAATGTGACAGCCATACCAAAAGACAGCAGCTTTCGACCTCCAGCTAGGATTCAAGTCACGACTATGATGGCAGGTTAGTGAGCATCTGACTCCTGCTTTAAAATTTCGTGAGCCAGTTGTTGACAAATGTGTATCGCATTCCTCGAGCCGAGGTTATCTGCATTGTTTGAGCTTGTTTTTCTATAAAGCCATTATTTTTATCTATATATTTCTATCTAAATACAGTACGTGCCTATAGCTTGCTAAAATACAGTACAGTACTGTATTGAAAGATGTACTTTTTCTTGCATAAACGCCTATCGTTCGCGTTTTTTCAATACTGGAACATTAGGTAAGTTGAACTCATGTTGATTAGTTTTATAGGTACAGTATTCTAACTTGTTCAAGTTAAGAATGTATGTAGAGGAATATTTTTTTGAAATTTTTCTGAATCAAGTTTAATCAATTTTTGTATTTTTTTCCGCAGCACCAAAAACGATGGTTAAACCGGATTCTCTTGGAGTCACTACAGAAGGATACATATTCCTGGCTTTGCCTCAAGCTTCCGAAGAATATGGACCAATTTCACATTATTTTCTCGTTGTTGTTCCGGAGAGGAAAAATTATCCGTTTAAGCATCCTGACGCATATTTGCTGGATGATGTAAGCACTTGATTTCTCATACTTTCCTTTTTTCCTCAAAAAACGAAGGCGTATCTTGAAATTCCGGTCATTATTAATTTTAAAAATTACTTGGGGATTATTTTTAGGATAAAGTTAATCAATATGGGATGGGCGTGAATCAGTATGTGTAATTTATAAATTTCAGAATATTCTTAATTATCTCGGTCGGAACGTTGTACTGTACTTGTGATTAATACACCTAGTTTCTCGCACTTTGAGTTTTTAGGATTCTAATAGCTTAAATGTGCCATCTCATTTACCCGATCAAAAATTTTAATTTAGATGCCTGGCGAACTGTTCCAGATATATTTTCCTGAGTATGCCTAATACTTCTTATTTGCATGGAAGTAGCTGAAAATTATGCATAAAGTTTAGTTTGTTTGTTTGTAAGTGGTGCGTATTTTGAGGAAGCTGGATATAATGCCGTAGTTGAGTTTTACAGTACATACAAAGCGTAACCGTACCGCCATTTGTAACTTGTATTCTTCATCCTCCGGTCCAGAAGAGATCTGATGGAATTTAACAACGCTTTTGATTCCATGGAAAGATTTTCGGGTGGAACTCAGGATAACGATTCGCACCAATCATAAAAAGGGGATGAGATTTGAAATTGAGAAAATAAAGAATGGATAACCGGTTCAGATAATCAGCTACATGGTCGATTAGAGTTCAGATAATCTAAATTCTGCTGTGAATCTACACGATTTTAATTTCTTTTAGGGGTGTGCGGAAGTAATATTTACTGTAATTCATTCCTTATACACTGTATTATTCAACACTCGATTTACTCCACAGTTGATAGTGAACAAAGGGAGGAGCAATCCGTACTTGAACAGCGTGAAACCGGGAGAGTTCGAAGAAGAAGAAGAGCTGCCATACATCGCCGCGAAATTCCTCAATCGTGATATTCCGGTCGAGTTTTACCTGGGCAATAACAAAACGTACAATGGCTTCTGGAACAGACCACTGAGCGCCGAACTTCGGTACAAGATATTCTTGAGAGCCTTCGTCGACACTCCTCAGAAGGTGAGCAAATCAAAACTATACGGATCAAGCCAAAACTTGAAACTAACTGTATTTTAACCTCTGTCACTGGAGCAGACGAATCTGTACGGTAATAGTGAGCTTTCGGACTTCATGAGTCTGAAAATGCCACTAGTACACCCAGGCCAGAAGCTGCCCACTCGTCCTCCACCTTCGTCCCCGCACGTAGACCCCGAGGGCATCGGCCACCCGGACATGACCCCCTACGGAATTGACGGTGTCCATGCCCGTTCTGCTGACAAGGTCTGGATCATCGCCCCTGCCGTTTCCGTCGTTCTTCTCGTCGCCCTCGTGTGTGCTGTTATTTTGCTACGGCGGCGTCGCGGTGCCCCGAAGGAGCACGACGCTGGTCGTTCGGCTGTAGATAAACCCTTGCTGGGTAATGAGCGAGGAGCTGTGATTGCCGGTGGAATCGGAGGGGGGTCGGCGTATGGGGGTTCTTTGGGACGAGCTGGATCGTCGCTTGGAGGTGGAAACTACGACTACGCGCCTGGAGGACCCTCGGATCCCGTGGAGTTGAGGCGCTTGAATTTCCAAACCCCGGGCATGATGTCGCATCCGCCCATTCCGGTGTCGGAGCTTTCGAATCACATCGAGATGCTGAAGGCCAACAACAACACACTGTTTTCTCAGGAATACGAGGTGAATATACATTACGAGATGTCTCGAGAAAGTCTTGAAACAAGCGAAAACTGTTCAAAGTCGTGCATAGGGATTGAATAAAAACGAAAAAATTTCGATTCTGTCGAAATTAGGGATAAAAATCGTGGGCCTGAAGCGGTGCACGCAGTTAATTTGTTCGAATTCCTTAGGTAATCTCTCATTTTCAAGATAAAGTTCCTTGTAACAGTGACGATTTTGAACACTTTTTGCGGCAGGAATTCATCATCAAGTTCTCCAATGTAATTCAGCCTGAGACTCCTGATTTAGTGGCGACTGTTGAACCGATTTACTGGACTTTAAATGGAAGTAGATATGGTTGTTGAGCAATTGGTCTTGAGTAGAATCAAAAATTGCATTGAAGCATACTCTCTGAAGTATGAAAACATGGAAATATGTTGAAGTTTTTAGCGTCCAATAGGTTATGAACGTATCCGGCTACTTTTATCCGCTGATGAAGGGCTGCCGTATTACATCATTTCATGGATCAAAAATAATTTTCTATAAGTGATCCAATGACGGTCTTTGGGTGATCCGCACCTCTTTCGATAACCCCCATTCATATTTCATTCTAAATTTAAATTCTATATTGTGGCATCGTTCAAAGTCTCGGTCGAAGTTGACGTTTTTTTTCTCGTGAATCTCTTGTGCACCTTTCACGCTGATGATGTGTGCATTCACAGTCGATCGAAACTGGACAATTGTTCAAATGGGAAAACTCGAGCATGGAGGTGAACAAGCCTAAGAATCGTTACGCCAACGTCATCGCTTACGACCACTCCCGGGTTATCCTTGAACCAATTGATGGCATACCGGGCAGCGATTATATCAACGCGAATTTTTGCGATGGTTATCGGAAGCAGAACGCGTACATCGCTACGCAGGTTGGTTCTCATGAAAATTTTGTGTCGAATTTTCAATACGTGACTGCATTGGAAATGAATATATTTCATCTGTATGATATATTCCTTATTAAACCTTTGAACTATTGAGAATCGTGTGGAATAACTGCGAAATGAAAAATTCAACTGAGTCCCTAATATTTCCAGAATTTTCGTGTGTAGGCATCAGGGTTGTTAATCGCAGTCAAAAATATAATTGCCCAATCGGAATTGCAATCCAGTGCAAAAATTATCCCGCAATCAAAATCCCAGAGCACTAATGTTTTAAATCCACAATCGCAATGCATTTCTTTGCATTTTTGCCCAGTTGCAAATGCAAGGGTAATTGCAACTCTTTTTCAGGATTTCCATCCTGTGCTTTTCACATTTATTGTAATCATTCCTCATTAATCTAAACATTTTCCAAAAAGTCAATCCTGTGAATGGATGAAGAGAATGACAAGGAAAATCTAATCAAAACAATACTTTTGCATCATATGGAAGTCATCTTTTCTCAATCCATTTTCATTCTCACCAGACAAAAAACAGACAAAATCTGCCTTGATAAAGGAATGAAGTACCAAAAATTATGAATAAAGCTGAATAGCCTTTCTAAGGTATTATTCAATGATTGAATGCCCAAATTTTTTCATCCAAGTGCAATTACCAATAAAAAACTTTGATGAGCTTCTTTCTGTGCCAACCTGTCTGAAGTTGAAGCCATAAAAATCAATATGCAGTATCCTCTTCCATCTAGCAACTTACACAGTTAACCAAAGAAGTTGTTCATTGTTTTTCATTGAATTTTGATCATGGGTTAAATAAATTTGCCCAAAAAAAGTGCATACACTACTGAAGTTATTTGGTACTGGTTGTGATTGTGATTTTGTCAGTTTTACCCCAATTGCAATCTTCTGGCATTAGGGAAGCATAGGATTTTGCGTCTTGGACTCTTCTGTAAATTGTTTTTTGCTGAAAATTTGTGATGCAATTATAATTGATGCCTTGCTTGATTCTCTGGAACGCGGAAATTCGTATTCGACTCCCGTCAAATTTTCCGATGTTTTGAGTTAATTCATTTCGCGTTATTATTTTGTTTTCCCGTCTCGCTTGAAATAAAATCATTGCTATCTTTCAGGGTCCCTTGCCGGAAACAGTTTCAGACTTTTGGCGAATGGTATGGGAGCAACGAAGTATGACGATCGTGATGATGACCAAGTTGGAAGAGCGAGCGAGGATTAAGTGCGATCAGTATTGGCCATCGCGTGGAACTGAGACATATCATCCGATTATTGTTTCATTGGTTGACACCGTGGAACTCGCAACTTACATCATCAGAACTTTTCAAGTGCAGCATTTAAACTACAGTGAAATACGGGAAGTTCGGCAATTCCAGTTCACGGCTTGGCCTGATCATGGTGTACCTGTGCATCCTACGCCATTCCTGGTGTTTTTGAAGAGGATCAAGGGGTTGAATCCCAGTGAAGCTGGTCCTCCGATCATTCACTGCAGGTTAGTGAAGTGAAAGTTCCGCAGACGAATGCAGTGTCTTGAGAGCGACTTTAAAACAGTTCTTGTCACAAATGAAAAGGAATCGTCATTTTTGATGCGAAGAAAATTATAGAACTGGTCATTTTGCTATCGGTTGAAGGATTTCAGAACATTTCAACGTAGGTTAAGAAGGCGCGTTTGAAAACGGTGCGTTATTAAAGGAGAATTTTCGAGCGAAAAACTATTGATTCATGCCGCGTTCAGAAAAGCTTTCAGAATTGCTGATCGTGCCATTACTGCATCATTCTGACGGAGGAGACGTGATTTGCGGAAGGGTTATTTTGTGCTTGATGTCTTGGAAATATTTCTCACGTCTATACCTCAACTGTTCGTTTCATTAGTACACCCGTTGCTTTATGATGCGCTTAACTGTCTGGTCACGGAATACTTAACTGTCTGGTCACGTAATATTAGCGCATTCAAAATGTTCTGTATTTTCCAGTGCTGGCGTTGGAAGAACTGGAGCATACATCGTCATCGATTCGATGTTGGAGAGGATGAAGACAGAGCACACAGTTGACATTTACGGTCACGTTACTTGTCTTCGGGCCCAAAGGAACTACATGGTGCAAACTGAAGACCAATACGTGTTCATTCATGACGCGCTGGCGGAAGCCGTGATTTGCGGTAATTCGGAAATACCTGCGCGAAATCTGCAGCTTTATGTGCAGAAGTTGTTCACGCCTGAACCCGACGGCCAGATCCCGCTGGAATTAGAATTCAAGGTGAGCAAATCATCCTCCCTCACCGAGTTTGTATTTCCGAAAGTGTTTTTGGAGTCTATACCTTGCTTGACTGCCTATTTTTCTAGCGTTTGGCGAATATGAAAGCGCAACCGTCGCGATTCGTGTCGGCGAACATGCCGTTCAACAAGCACAAGAACCGGCTAGTCAATATTCTCCCTTATGAGAACACGAGGGTGTGTCTGCAGCACATCATGGGAAAGGAAGGATCTGATTATATCAATGCATCTTACATAGACGGCTACAAGTAAGTAGATATCAATTGCAAAGACGGGGGTTCGTGTAGCGCGAGATTCAAGATTGGCTTATTGTTCTTATCGCGTCGTATGCAGAACATTGCAGTTATAATATTTGTCGCTGCTGTATTTTTTTCAAGGTATCCAAATGCGTACATAGCCACGCAGGGTCCCCTTCCGGATACAGCTGAAGATTTCTGGAGGATGCTTTGGGAGCATAATTCCACGATCGTCGTGATGCTGACGAAGCTAAGAGAAATGGGCAGGGTAAGACCACGCAGAGTTTTCTTGATCAAAGCGTCGCGCAGTTTTAAGGAAATCATATCGTTGTTAATGTCCATCTGGCTTAACCTATATAGCCGCGATCAAGCACGAGACGGATTGAAATCTATGAACGGAATGTGTGAACTTTTCGAACACGTCACTGGATAACTCGCGAGTGGGATATCTTTGACAAAATGAACGACTTTTGAAATCGTTCCGTGGGATGAAGAAATATTTGGAAGGCTGAATTGCCGTGTTGATACTAGTACAAATTCCCGCGTTCTAGCGAATTCAAGAAGGCGTCATTCTAATTGAGTCTCAATTTTTCAGTAAAAACCAATTTGCAGAGGAGCACGAGACGCAAAAACCCTTGCTTCTCCAGAATGCCAAAACATTTATGATACATTACACTCGGTGAACCAAAAAGTTCAGAATGACTGTGAAGTTTCTCGTTGATCAGAATACTGTACAATAAAATGACGCACTGGAAGAAAGCACGCTTGAAATTTCTTACGAGCGTTCTAGGAATCTCTTGACTGTACCCTGCAATTTCAGGAAATAAATTATAGGAACACGTTTGAAATGCTTTCCCTTATGTTAATTCAGAGTTTTCCGTCAATGAATAAAAATACACGGTATTTTAAAATACAGCGAGGACGCAGTAAGAGGCTAAAGTCGTAGCTCACGATTGATCAGGACTTCGATTAAAGAGCGACTGGTTCTTGTAGAGATTGAAATGGTGTCACTAACGAGTCTATCGCTCGTTCACTCCAGGAAAAATGCCATCAGTACTGGCCAAATGATCGCTGCGCCCGGTACTCTTTCTGCGTCGTGGAGCCGATAGCCGAGTACAACATGCCCCAATACATCCTTCGCGAATTCAAGGTCACGGATGCCCGGGATGGACAATCGCGAACAATTCGCCAATTCCAGTTCACGGATTGGCCGGAACAGGGAGTGCCCAAATCCGGGGAGGGGTTCATCGACTTCATCGGCCAGGTGCACAAGACCAAAGAACAGTTCGGTCAGGAAGGACCGATTACGGTGCACTGCAGTGCCGGTGTGGGACGGACCGGGGTGTTCGTCACGCTTAGTATAGTGCTCGAAAGGATGCAATACGAGGGTGTTGTGGATCTGTTCACGACCGTACGAATACTGCGAACGCAGCGTCCTGCCATGGTCCAAACCGAGGTACTGTACCCTGAACCTGGACCTTTACTTCACGTTTTTCCGTTGTGTTTTAGTTAATGACGATATTTACGAGAAGAAAAACCAGCTAAACAAATTACTCGTCGTCTTAACTGCTGTCATTGGCTTCGGCATCAGGTTTTCTTAAGCTGAAGAAGTGGTTTTTTTTAGTGTTAACGTCAATAATATAAAGCACGGAGGAGAAAGAATAGTAAGTTTTTCTCTTTAGATATCGCCAGTGTGCAAGATATGCCGTGATGTACATTACAGCTGTACTCAAAAGCCGAGATACTGTACTCCAAGTTTTGAAAAAAAAAAATTTCTTTCGTAGTTCATGAATTGAATATTGTCCATGCTTTTATGGATGATTTCATTTTCTAAAGCTGTGCTCTTTTTCCCGAATAGCTGAATAGTGGTAGTCCAATGGGTATTTTGTAGTTGCGAGATCTGTATGCGGAAGAGGCAATGAACCAGACGTAACGTGAATTTTGAAATAAAGTTGGATTCTACGTGACGATTAAGGATTGTAGATTCAATTCAAAGACGTCACGCACGATGTAGATTTTCAAGTGAATCAGTTCACAGGAATGTGTCATGAAAGAAAATCTATGAAGCGGAAACTACTAAGCGACTCAATCCCGCACATACTGGTTTTCCCTGAACATTACTTTAATTTCAATCTTTCATGAGATTTTTTCGTTATCCACTCAGAAATTTACAGTTTGTAAATCCTACATGTTTTCATGGGTTTATCTACGATAACATGCGGCTGTCAAGGGGATTTATGTTTTTTAGATCAATTTTTTTTGCTTCGAGTTTTTTACTTTTCTGTGAAAGTTTTTTTGATGCCAATTTTTACGACGGTCACGAATCATAGATTCAATGGGCAAGCTTATTTCAGAAGTAGAGTGAACTAAATCGCTATGCCGCATTTATTTATTTTGTCAGAGTTGATTTTTTTGCGAATTCTGCCGATAGTTCTGGATACTTGTTGAATAAAGGAAGTTGGTCCATTGTGTTCCAGGACAGACTTGGTTGGATAAGAAGCTGTGTAACGATACATTTTTGTCCCTTATTTTCGAATACTGTAGGAGCAATACATATCTGTTTTTCACGACACCTTGACGTTTCTTCTAGCGCTTCAAATACTAGATTTTTGCGCTTATTTCCTGGATTTGTGTGATTTATTTTTATTCTTGTTTCAGGATCAATATCAATTCTGCTACCGAGCAGCTTTGGAGTACCTCAATTCATTCGATCACTTCGCAACTTGAGGCCCTCACCCCTCGGACTGGCATTAGCCGTGCAAGCTTCAAAACTACAGCTTGTTTCCCTTTTTCATGTGCAGCTTTTGTGAGAATAGTTCCGCTACTTTTAATCAAGGTATTGCGATTGTTTTAGCCGACGATTCGCGCGTTTCCTCTCTGGAAATCTGCTTTCGACTACCGGATCAATCTGAGGAATCAAGACGTGACGAAGCTTTTCTATATCAAATTTGCGTGGCTCTGTTTTTTTTTTGGACATTTTTAGTGAGATGTCTTGTGACGCGACTTTTCGCTCCAAATGTGTGACTCGGCAATCTTCTATGTGAACGCGGGTGTTCTTTGTACTTCAAGGCGTTCCGTTTTGATGCTCATTTTACCGCTTGGTTGTTCCGATGCGAGTTCGCTTCTTTTGCTACTGAAATATTTCCTCGCGTGCAGTGAAACGCGAAAATTGATCATGATTATCATCGACCTTGGATTGACTCGTTGGATTGCATCGTTTGAACAAACGATGCATACTTTGTGTACGTCATTCAGATCTTCTCATTTAGGAAATTTGATAAGAACGAATCCAGCCGTTGATAGGTATAAGTCGTTTAAACGAGTTTCTTCGATTTTTTCAAATACTGTACGTTTGGAACATCTTCGATAAATTACATTTTAAATTATATGATGAAATTCCGGTTAATCAAAGTATTTCCATACTAGTTTTTTTAATAAATCTTTTCAGCATTTAGAGATTACTTCAAATGTTCACTAGATAGTTTGTATTCAGTTCGAGAACGCGCCCCCCCCCCCCCCCTCCCATTCCGAAAGTCTCCATCATTCCATGAGGTGTACAATCGTCAGACTAATCATTCTTGTGATGTTGTTGGCCCCATTTGTATTCCATGATTGTTGTAAACATCAAGGTGTAATTTTCTAACGAAATGAATTGTGGGTATGTCTGTGACTCAGAATGGAGGAGATCTCTTACTGATGAGCTCGTTGCTTAGGTAAGCCATGATGATAGGAAGTCACGAATCTTGCCATTTTTCATCGAGATCTCCGACGCTCGTAGGACGAGAACTCCCTTGAAAAATTCTTGAATTTAAAAGAAGAGTGGACCTAATTTGGGATGTGATTGTGCTTTGAGCGAACAGCAATGGAGTTTGATGCAACTTTCGTGTTGTGTTCAAAAGCATGTAAAAACTTGATGGGTTCCTTTTTGAAACTTCGTAGCCTTCCTTATTTTTGAGGAGGTCCTTTTGCTACGTGCTCAAAGCAATCTTCGTGCTTTAGAGGCTCTGTACTTGAATTTTTTTTACAGCAGAATGAATCTGCTGGTTGTTGATCTCAATTTATTGAATGTATTTCCTTTGTGCAAAAGGTTTCATGACTCCAAATTAATTAAACTTGGAATCCCTGCTTTTTGCGAGCTAGACGATATGGATGCATCGGTAATTATGTACGGAATCAAAGCAGCAGTACTTTATCACTCTCGTTTTCTGACCTCTGCTCGTGGCTGAATTTGAACGGGAAAATATTTGGGTGCCTGACTGATGCTGTTGAATAATTTGACGCAATTTCCTGTGCTACTCGTTAGGCTTTTGAGCTGATTTAAGATTTCCTTCTCTTTTTTGGTCAAAATGTGCTTATTCTATGCTGTTTGTGCGCAGAAAAGTGCCTGCTTGCGCATATGGTTTCTTCCAGGCTTCATTAATGCGGCAGTCCTAGATATTTTCCGGCTAGAAATTGCGTGGAATCATTTATCCGGTATTCAAGAAAAGAGAACAATCCCACCAAGTTTTTGAAAGATAGAATACGGGTATTCAGTTTTCCGTTTTTGGTTGCGATAACAAAGAAAAATTGCAGCTCTCAGTTGTAAGACGCGATGAGGTATTAGGTGATTTTAGATGAAGTTCCCCACAGTTTCTTGGTGCCTTGGTGGGGGAGGAGGATAAGGAGGTTTCGAAAGTGCTTAGGAAGATGTTCGTATGTTGATTTCTGCCCGGATCTGAAGATTTAAAAGAAAATAAGGAAATATGTGATGGGATATTTGACCCGTTTGGGATTCTGGAGGATTGTACTGGATTTTATTCATATCACAATTTTTTTTTCATTCTTGTTTGAATTGATGTGACTGCATTGTTCTTAAGTGGAGGTTTGAACGGTTTTTATTTCATTTTGTGTGATGCGGGTTGCTGTCGCATCGGATGTTTTGTTAGTTGCGGGGATTTTTTCTTTCGGAAAGCGAAGATGTACAAGAATTAGACTGTTTTTTCTTGAAGCACCGTTATTCCTTTTTTTTTACTATCAAATCGGTTATTTCTCTATGGGGAGACAGATTTTGATACATAATTGTTTCGTCCTGGTGTGTTCAGCTTCGCGAATTACCAATTGAGCGTGATTGAAAATTAATTTTTGATCCCTTGTACAATGAAAAAAGGCAATATGATTTAAAAATTGTAATGCTGTATCGAAGCAATTTTTCAGGGATTTCTGGGATGAGTGAAGCCAGATGCCTTCGTTTGTCCAACCCATTTTTCGAAGGTTGATGTGTACAAATTTCTGTTCCATCACAGACATCCTAATTCTGAGGTTATTCACGTACTGTATCCTCAACTCTCATGTTGGCCTCAGTGGGACGATCTGTCAAACACACACGTTATTGAACCACGCTATCAGCCATGGTGAATTTGAATTATTTAAAACGAACGAATGTATGTGAGTGAAATCGGAGGAAACGAGGCAGAATAGCATCAATATCTGTCTTCCCGAAAAGATTCGAAAAAATTGTCAGATTTTTATCGTTCGAAGCGAGTGATGTGTCCTTATTGTCTCTATAGTTGAAGAATTGTGCCTGGCGTAACACAATGGGCCTATAGTGTTGCTCCGTCATTGCCTCGTTCCCGGCCGAGATGGAGCGAAATTTTGGAACAGATAGAGCGGAGGAAAGACACGGAATGGAGCGTAGCGAGCACAATTTATCTCGAACACGGATCGTTACTCTTCCGGGACACGGATGAATGTTCGAACAAATGGTTGTTGGGAAGTCCCGGGAGTTTCCCTCGCTTACTGCTGTGGGTGTTGAAGGGTTCGGTGCCTCAGTCTCTCCGATTGGGTTCGCGAGATGTGGTCCAAGCGGAACGTGTTTCTCGTTGTTCTTCTTTCCGGTTTAACACAAATACTAGGTGCGCCACAAGGCCAATTGTCATCGCAGCGTTGTCGTGCGCCGAATGTTTGCGTCGAGCTTTGTCTATGTCGGAAAGAAGATATTGTTGCACCCGATGACCCCTTCGCATTGATCGTGATCAAAGAAGCCTTTTCATCGTCCAATGATTCGTCCAACCCTGTTGATATCTGCTTCGCTGTGAGTTGCTTTTATCTTATTTTAACGGATTTTAAGATATTCCTTTCAATTTTGGATATTATTGTATGTAGATTTTATTTTTTCAGGGCTGCTGTTACGAAATGATACTGTAATACTTTGTCTACCGTGATAGAAACATATCTTTGACCAAAACGTTTCGGTGCAATTAGTTTGTGATTGATGTAAATTTTCTGACCAACCCTCTCCTGCGTCACAGTGCTTCCGAATGTTTACTTCACACCGTCAAACTCAGTCACATTTCATTTTCACTCAATTGTATTCCGTAGTACTCGAGGATTCCTCCTGAGTTCTCGTGAGCATTGCTACAGCGACACCGGAGTTATTTCAATTTTGATTTACAGTTTTGTTAAGTTATTAGCATGAATTGATTAACATTTTTTGCATCAAGCAATTCTTGGTACTTTCCTGTTATCTCAGTATCTACTCTGCAAGACCGCACTACCATCCAGACAAATCTTTAGTACGAGCTCATAATCACGACGACCTACCGGAAACTGAATTCTATTTTTCCGCATTGTGCTGAAACTGATTTTGGGAGGCGGTTAGGTAAAGTTAGGTTAGGTCAGGTTATGTTAGTTACAAGTATCTTTTAATTAACATAACCTGNATTTTTCCGCATTGTGCTGAAACTGATTTTGGGAGGCGGTTAGGTAAAGTTAGGTTAGGTCAGGTTATGTTAGTTACAAGTATCTTTTAATTAACATAACCTGACCTAACCTAACTTTACCTAACCGAATTCTTTTCAAGTCTCCTTGACCAGCTGAACACCAAATCCAATGCACATCCCAAGGTTAAGCTCGCTGAAAATTCTGACCTCACCGCCGCATAGTGAACTTTTCGATGGGAGGTTTTTTGTGCATATTTTTGGCATCGAATGCGTGGATATGAAAAGTACAGTATTGTAATGTACTGTGTGCAAATGCCTGTATACTTCAGGAGATTGGGTTCAGACAAGATGGATCGGAAGTAGTTCCAGTCGGCCTCTGTCCGGAAACTGCATCAGTTTGTTGTAGAAATCCTCTGTCTCGCAAGAAGGAGCCTCCAACCGAGCTTCATACTTCGAGTAAAGATGCGGTAAACGATTTCTGGTCAGCGTGTGGAAGAGTCAGAAGAAATGGACCCGGTTATGAGATCAAATTTTCGAAAGCAACTCCGGGAATTGATTTCACAGAGGCTAAGCCGTGGGAATTTCCGTGGACCGCCGTCATATTGGAAAAATTTAAGAAAACCTTGCCCGATGGACAGAATTTGGATGTTTTCCTCGGTGCTGGGTCCGTGATTAATCCGAAAGTAGTGCTTACTGCCGCAACAAAGCTCATGAAATTCAGGTTTGTTTTCCTGGACATGGGGTTACTTGATTCGTTTTCGGTGTTTTTTTTTTTTATTTAACGGGGAGATCGAATTTTTTAAAGAAGGGAACGGATTTTTCAAGAACCAACGATTTTTTATTGGCGTGGACGAAAACCCGTACTACGCGGAAGAAAACTTTCGGTATGTTCCGAAAATTCAGTTACACAGAAACCGTAATTCCTGGTCATCTTGAATTAGAGTTGGAAGTTCAATTCAAGTGTTTTCCAAATCCTTTTCCATTCAATTGATTATTTCATTCCGATCTTCATGCATTTCGGTCGCGAAATGCATGAAACATTCCTTCATATTTGCGAGTACTTTTTTACTTATTCTTATTGAGTGTCAGTTTTCTGGATTGCAGAAGCGCAGATCCTCTTGTCAACATGATTAATTATACTGTGCCGCAATAAGGTTTTTCTTGAGTGAAACTTCATTTGCTATCGAAAGATAAGGTTTCATGAACAGAAAGCGTATGGTTTATTTTTGTATTGGGCTGTTTTTCTGTAACACAATCTTATGTCGAGTATTGTTTATCGCCATCTGATCAAAGTTTTTGGCGTTCTGAAATGATCTGCACAATGTTCTTATTTCTTTTTCAGGGCAAATGAAAAGAAGGAACTCGTAGTTCGTGTCGGAGCGTGGGATTTATACGGAAGGTCGATCATCAGCTCTGACGTCCCTCACCAGGATCTTTTCGTTGAAAAAATAATTTTTCATCCGGATTTCCAACCATTTGGCCAATATGCCAACAATTTGGCGGTGCTCTTATTGAAAGAGTCCATCAGTCCATTGCCAAATGTTGGTACAATCTGCCTTCCGGAGCCTGGTGGTCATCTCATCGAGGGATACGAAGAGTCCTGTATCGCCACCGGTTTTGGCACTCCAGGTTGGTGTCGGCAATGAAAGCAAAAGATCACCCATTTGGACGAAAAGTATCTGTGACTATAATCGTTTTACTTGGTCCAAATTTTCATTTTGAAGCTTTTACGATTTTTTCAGAATTATTGCATCGTTTAGGAATTGGGTTGAAATAGCTGTTTCTTACGTTGGGAATGTTCTCTATAAAATGTATGCCTAATAACCGATTACAAGCATGGTACCTAAAAGCAAATTCAATACTGAACGAATCATATCACGAAAAGCGCGTACTGTATTGACAATAGTTGACATGCGCCAAAATGCAGAACATTTATGCTGCATAATAGAAAGGGGTAATTTGTTTTAACCCTCTGCGAAAGCCATGCAGTACCTATTGAAACAAAACATGAGGTGATAGTGAAAATTTCTTGACACAAATTTTATCCAGTAAAACATGATTTCCAAAAAATTGGGGTTACAATATATATTTTTTCGGTGCTTTTGTGTTTACGCAGACGTCGGATTGTGAATTTTTTCCTGAGCATTTGACAATGTTTCATTGGTATTTGCAGATAAGGGAATCTCGAACATCATGAAGAAGGCGTATTTGAATCTCATACCTAATTCCGAGTGCAACGCTGCTCTGATTGAAGCCTTAACCTACCCTGACCTCGTTCTTCATCGGGGATCCGTCTGTGCTGTTGGTAGCAATGGTTTGAATGACACTTGCAAGGTATGAATGCTCGTCCATCTTGAACATTTCGGCGCTTGTATAGTGCGTGAGCGACCTTGACCATCACTGTGCCGGACCTTAGGAAATATGACCGATCATTTACTGGATTCTTTTGTAATAATTCAGTTGAAGGAAATTTCAGTTATTTTTTAATACTGTAGTTGAATGCGATTCAGTCAGGGACGAATAGTGATTTTGTCTACATCTTCCGAACCGCCTCCAATCTTTGGAGATGCTTCATGCAGTGTATCTATCTCATCAGGTTTCCTTCATCACTAATATTGTGCAATTTATATTTTTCTTTGGGACACCTTTCTGTAAGAAGCTTATACAGTTGATAATTAATGGACAGTACGATACAAGGATGGGTTGGTTTTTTTTAGGTTGGGTGTTACGTGTTATAGATGTTAGAGTACTGAATATACTTCCACATTGTAAATGTCTTTCATTGTATTATTGTCTGCGGTAGTCACCTGTTTATAGTATTCGTCGTGGACGCTTACGAAGGTTATTGACAGAACAAAAATTATACCACATTACCCTTGACAACGTACAGTATTTTGAATTTTATTTCAATGCAGGGTGACGGTGGAGGTCCTTTGGCTTGTTTGAGCAAAGGAACAGGTCGTTGGACGCAAGTTGGAATAACAGCTTGGGGCGTTGATTGTTCTGGAGCACATCCCGGAGTGTACACCAATGTTCTGTATTATCTTGACTGGATTCACAGTGTTATCGTTTGAGGAATCCCAAATTACCTTTTGGGGTGTGGTTGCAGAATAAATCGTTGTTTGTCTGGTTTGCAATGTGAATTGATGATTTTACGTAAGTTTTATTCAAGCGGTCATTATGCCTCGTGACAGAAGAGAAGTGAATTTCTTTGGTATTCGGGATTTTTAGATTTATTTTTTTTCCAATGGCGGGATCCAGCACTGGGAAAGTTCCGATTGTGTATAGGAACGAGTATAATATCGGATTCCTTGGATTGGAAAAGTTGCATCCGTTCGACTCCAAAAAGTGGGGCAATGTTTTTAATGTGAGCTCCTGTCGTGATTGCAATATTGTTATTTCCAGAATCAATCATTCCTTGTCATTCGTAGTATCTGAAGGAAGCTATCAGAGGGCTGACGGAAGAAAAGATTCACAGTCCACCCGAAGTGACTCCAGCACAGCTGCTAAAAGTTCACACGCAGGAATATATTGACAGCTTGACGAAAAGCGTTAACGTCGCAAAGATCACTGAAGTATTTTTCTTGGCCGCAATCCCTAACTTCGTTGTGCAAAGAAGGGTCTTGAAACCTTTCAGGTATAATCTTTTTTTCACCGAATCTTTATTTATTCTTGGATTAACGATTGGTTTCGATGTTTTGTACGTTTCTATAGTTTGCTAACTGAATTGATTTTGAATTTCATGACTTCTTCGCTGAACCGCCTATTCGCTTTCTGGAAAAGAAGATAGGTGTCACCTGAATTCTTCTGTTTCATTTGAAGTACAGTACAGCATGTTGAATTAAGCTTCGTTGAGTTTGGTGAACTTGAATTGGTTGCGTGCTCGGGTCAGAGATATCACCTGTGTGTAAGAAGAAACTGAGAGACCCGTAGGCTGTTGGGATTTAGGGGGTACAAATCCTGTATTTTTTTCCACTGAAAATACGAGGATAATGATTGGATTCCACTAGTATCAGGAATCATTTTAGCTGCCCTCAATCTTTCTTCTTATTTTTTTCACTGTCGTTTCAGCCAAGTTTTTTTGGATTTCTCAAATAGGTTTCAAGTAGGGGGAACGTTGCTGGCTGGAGAACTGTGTATGGAACACAAATGGAGCATCAACATAGGCGGTGGATTTCATCATTGCAGCAAAGACAGAGGAGGAGGTTTTTGCGCGTATGCGGACATCACGTTGTGCATTCGGAACATTTTGGAAAAGTATTCGTCTAGAGTCAAGAAGGTGTTGCTGATAGACTTGGATGCACATCAAGGGAATGGACATGAAAGAGACTTCCTTGGGGACGAATCGGTTTATATATTTGACATGTACAATAAATACATATACCCAGGAGACATGGAAGCTCGGGCCGCCATCAAAAAGTCGGTGGAATTATTCACGGGAACGACTGATGAAGAATATCTGTTGGCTCTTCGATCGTTAGTCTTTCCAGCTTTTATTCATGTACTGTATTGTATATTTCCTTTAAAATATTCTATGCGTCAACATTTTAGCCGAAGGAATCGAGAAAGGGATCATAATGTGCATTTACGTTTAAAAGAGAAGGTTCAACCTTTCATCAGGACGTTTTTTGGGTACCCAAGTTCAGAATATTTCTTACTCCTCCGGGGTCCATTGCGAAACCAGACTTTATATAGCTCCTGTTCATATGCCAAGTTTATTTGCGATTGCAGCAATTATTCGGATCTAAGTTTTTGATGAAAATGTCTGCTGGTCACGTGATTCTTCTCCAAAAGAAAGAACATGATGATTCATTGTCTGTTGCAGGAAGCTTCAAGAAGCATTTGAGGAAGCAAAGCCAGATTTCGTTTTCTTCAACGCTGGAACAGACATTTTGGAGGGTGACACCCTTGGTAGACTCAGTATAACTCGGGAAGGAATCATTGAACGGGATGAAATAGTTTTCCGAAAAGCTAAGGAAGCTGGTGTTCCCATCGTCATGGTCACCAGTGGTGGATATGTGGCCAGAACTGCGAAGATTATAGCGGATTCTATTGTGAATTTGAAGGACAAAGGATTGATCCACATGGATCTGGATTGACCTACACCTTGTATATTCTATATCCTCATACCGGTGCTGTTCCAATTTTCTGGCGAAGTAATCTTTTTTAATGAAGTACTGCGAACTTATCCAAAATATTTGTCTCTCATCGGTGCCTGCTGTATGATCAGTCCGTTTGCTTAATTGGCAATCGAACTAATATATAGCTTCGAAATTTTCGCCCAAAAGTTGTATGGAATGTTTGCATGGTGGAATCGAGGAAATTGTTTTTGAAAAAATGCAGGTTCGTCTTATGGGAAATGGGTCATATTGTGCGGTTTTAAATTTCAGTGTATATATATTGTTATCCTTATTGGGAGAAATCAATAAAAGACTCTGTCGCGACTCTAGAAGAACGTCTTCTTCTTGA